ATTATTATTATTATGATTAATATATGAAGAAATGGAAACTTGAAAAAATTAAGCAATATATCTAAGGTAACACAGTTAATTGGCAGGAGAGTTGGAACTTTAACCAAGATATAGAATCTTCTGGTACTGGTTTCTTTCCTCTGTGTTTACTACTGAATTCCTCATGCATTCTGGGGGTGGAGGACTAGAAAATTGAGTCATCCATTCTTTCTTGATTCAAATTCCTTATTGTCACTTTCTTTTTGTTTCCTTACACTTAGAACTCTTGGGTATTATCTGTTCAGTCATGGGCTCTATCTATTAGAATTCACTGTGAGAGGTAAGCAGCAAGATGTGGGGATATCCACAGCCCCTGCAGGTGGTGGACTCTCCTTGACACAGAGATATTGATGACTTCTGGGGTCCCTTAGAATTCTCTTTACACAGATAGTCTGGAAAAATTAACATCCTGTTTCTATTCAAGTATACACTTGTTGCTACACATCAAGAGATTTAAAAAATAATAAGCTCTGTTCTGATCCATTGATCGATGTGTCTGTTCTTATGCCAGTACCAAACTGTTTTGAGTACTATGGCCTTGTAATATAGTTTGATGTCAGGTATTGTGATCCCTCCTACTTTGTTTTTATTTCTCAAAATTGCTGTGGGTATTCAGGGTCATTTATGATTCCATAAAATTTTTTGAAATGTTTGTTCTATATTTGCGAAATATGTCATTGGTATTTTAATAGGGATTGCATCGAATCTATAAATTGCTTTGGTAGTATGGACATTTTGATGATGTTAATTCTTCCAATCCATAAATACAGTATGTGCTTCCATTTATTTGTGTCTTCCTGAATTTCTTTCTTCAGTGTTGTATAGTTTTCTGAGTAAGGTGTTTTACCTCCTTGGTTAAGTTTATTCATAGGTACTTTATTTTTCTTGTTGCTATAGCAAATGGGGTTTTTTCCCCCTGATTTCTGTTTTTGATGTTTCATTGTTGGTCTACAAAAATGCCTTCAATTTCTGAATGTTGACTTTGTATCCCACTGTTTTGCCAGATTCACTTATTAGGTTGAGTAGTTTTTTGGTAGAGTCCATAGGGTTTTCTATGTGTGCTATTATGCCATCTGTAAACAGTGACAATTACTTCCTCCTTTCCAATTTGGATGCCTTTTATTTCCTTTTCTTTTCTTATTACTGTGACTAGGACTTCTAATACTACATTAAATAGAAGTGGTAAAATAGAGAGTCCAGGAATAAATTCAGGTCTCTATGATCAATTAAGATTCAACAAAGGGAGCAGAAGCATAAAATGGAGTAAAAATAGCCTCTTCAACAAATGATGTTAGGAGATCTGAACAGCTACATGCAAAAAAAAAAAAAAAAGAAAGAAAGAAAGAAAGTAAAAAAGGAACTTGACCACCAACTTACACCATACAAAAAAATAAACTCAAGGTGGGTAAAAGACTTAAATATAAGTCGCAACACCATAAAAATCCTAGAGGAGAACATAGGGAGGAAAATCTCAGATATTCCATGCAGCAGTATTTTCACCAATATGTCCCATAGAACAAGGGGCATAAAAGAAAGAATAAACAAGTGCAACTTTATCAAAATAAAAAGCTTCTGCACAACTAAAGAAAACATCAGCAAAATGAAAAGGGAACTGACTATATGGGAGAGTATTTATGCCAATGATACCCCAGACAAGGGTTTGATCTCCAAAATTTATAAAGAACTCACACAACTCCACTCCAGGAAGACAATCAGCCCAATTAAAAAATGGGCAAAGGACCTGAACAGGCACTTCTTCAAAGAGGTCATACCGAGGGCCCAGAGACATATGAAAAGATGCTCAGCATCACTAGTCATCAGAGAGATGCAAATTAAAACCACAGTGAAATACCACTTCACACCTGTCAGAGCGACCATCATATCCAAATCAACAAACAAGTGTGGGTGAGGTAGTGGAAAAAAGGAAACCCTAGTACACTGTTTGTGGGAATGCAGACTGGTGCAGCCATGGTGGAAAACAGTAGGGAATTTCCTCAGAAAACTAAAAATGGAACTGCCTTTTGATCCAGCAGTTCCACTGCTGTGATTATACCCTAAGAATCCTGACACACCAATTCAAAAGAACCTATGCACCCCAATGTTCATAGCGGCACAATTTACAATAGCCAAGTGCTGGAAGCAACCTAAGTGCCCATCAGTAAATGAGTGGATGAAAAAACTATGGTACATTTACATGATGGAATACTATGCAGCAGAAAGAAAGAAGAAGCTTCTACTCTTTGAGACAGCATGGATGGAACTGGAGAGCATTATGCTAAGTGAAATAAGCCAGGTGTTGAAATACAAATACCATATAATCTCACCTACAAGTGGAACCTAATCAACAAACAAGCAAGCAAAATAGAACCAGAGACATTGAAATTAAGACCAAACTGACACTAATCAGAGGGCAAGTTGGAGGGAATAATGGGGGAAAGGGAAGAAGGGTTTTCTAGGAACATATATAAAGGACACATGGACAAAGCCAAAGGGGGTAGGATAAGGTGGGGGTGGATAAGGTAGGAGGGAGTGGTGGTGGGAAAATGGAGACAACTGTACTTGAACAACAATGAAAAAAAACTGGTAAAAAAAAACAATAAGCTTATATATTTCTGGATGTTTCAATTCTTTTCCTCTTAAGAGGGAGAATACTTAAATTTTGGTGGTCTCATTTGTCATTTCACACCCTTTGGAGGTAGTGGGAAAAAAAGTTGATGTTATCTCCATTTGTTGGGGGTGGGGCTTGGGAGAGAAGGAATTAAAGTCCAGCATGAAAAGAACACAGGCTTTGGAGTCACACAGATGCAGTTCAGTTGCTGGCTCCTCCATTCTGTTGTGTGTTCCAAGACCCACTTTCCTCATCTGTCTAATGGGGTAAGCAGAGGGTTGTTTGGAGGCCTAACGAGGTAATGCTCACAAAGCAAATAAACCGCATGTAAATGTGGCTCTTCTTGTGGTTTTGTGTGTGGTGTGACTTTTCACATTAGCCCAGGGTCATAGTTAGGTTGGAACCCAGGTCTCGTCATTCCTCACTGAGTGCTGCATGAACTTCTTCACCAGGTTTTTTGTTCACTTATGTTTTAAAATCCAAGTGCCTGTTTTGGACAGGTCACCGGTTCTGTGTTTTCAGCTGGCCATGTGCAATGCCCATATGTCAAAATTCCAAATTTACCTTGTGCCACAAGGCCAAGTTAATGTTAGTGAATCCACATGACTGACAAGGAGTATAACACAGGTTCTGTCAGGTGGTTTTAGGGGCAGCTTTTCTCAGAAAGTGAAAGCAGCAGGTGTTCATTGAATATTTACTATGTGCTCAGCACTGTGTGAAGAAGGGGATACAAAAAAAAAACACTTACTTTATTTGTGTCTAGTAGGACTGACAGTGTTTTAGGGAAATGTGATATCATTGAAACCTGACATGATTCAAGAACAATAATAAACACTATGTGATTCGGTGATGTTAGTTAAGTGGGCTCTGATCTGGGCCCTGCATGACTCTCATAGTCTGGTGGATTGAGAGACAAGTAAACCCACACTTAAAGCCTGGGTTGATAAATGAGAATCAAGTTCCTACAGGGAGTGCAGAGGAGAGGTTATGTGGTGTGTGTGGATTTGGGTGGTGGTGTGGGCTACAGGGGAGGTGATGCTTACACTGATCCTGATAATAATGGAGATCCTGGACAAAGGAGTACTGAGTGACGAGGACAGAAAACCACACTTTTAAAGGCACTGAAAGATGAGAGGACCTGGGGGTGATGAAGAATAGCATTTGTTCTGTATTCCTGATGGTCCGAGGTTAGGGTTTACTGGGTTAGGGGTGGCAGAGCAGTCTGGAGAAGTGAGCAATGGATAAGTTATTAAAGATGTTGTGTGCTATGCCGAGGAGTCTGAGCATCAAGGCACTGGCAAGGGATGACCATACCAGTGTTTCAGAATGATCACTCTAGGACGATCTTCCAGCAAACCAGGTGAGAAATAGGGCCTGCATCAGGTCTTAGAAGAAAGAAAAAAAATGAATGAATGAATGAATGAATTAATGAGTGAATGAATGAATAGTAGAGTGAGTAAATAGATGTACTCACTGTGTTGTAGGAGTTCAGGGAAAGAGGATGTTAGAGTGGGAATTTGAGGGACACTCTGCGATGGGGAAAGATTGGAGTGGCTGGCCCGATGACTTGCCTATAGTAGACAGCCAATAAGCTGGGTATTGAATGGCAATAGGATTTATGTGAGAGGAAGACTTAGTGTGTGAAATGGTAAAGGAGGCAAATTTAACTGGAAAAGAGTGATACACATATACACACTGGTTGTACAGTTTTTGGAAGACTTCAAAATGCTAGGTTAAGGAGTTTGAACTTAATTAATCGGTAGGAAGCCACTGAAGATTCTTAAACAAATATTTTGACATTTTCAACTTGGATTAGAAATGTGTTCATATGTTGGTTCTGTTTATCTTGGTAGTGAAATGTCTGGTGAGATGACACTAGTTCTGATTCTTACATTTGATGGAAATGTGACAGAGATAGCATTACTGTGGACTGGGAAATAAAGTCAGATGAACCCACTTTGACTGTGGGGAGACTGCGGAATGTCCACTGTCAGGTTATAGGGGGAGCTGAGGCAGAAATGAATGAGTGCCCATATGAGATTTTTGGTGATATCAGTCTACAGAGGGATGGAGTGAATAGAAAGGTGAGAGAAAACTGCTTGCCCTGTGGAGTCATTTAAGGGTAGTGAGTACGTGGTGTGCATGGTCATTATCGTCCTTCCATCCCATAGCAGGCATTAACTGACCCTACTGAGCTCAATGGTAGTCTTGGAGTTGCTATTAACACAGTGCTCCAGGCAACTGCTCTCAGTTGTTCACAGCTGGCAAACTTATCTGTCATGTCTGGAATAAGAAATGAATTAGAAATAGATTATGACTGTACTCATGGTGTGAACCAATTTTACTTTCCCAGGTGGAACTTGCAGAAATCTGCGCCAGGAGTGAGCGATATATTGGCACCGAAGGAGGAGGGATGGACCAGTCCATATCATTTCTTGCAGAAGAAGGAACTGTAGGTGGCATTGAGCTCCTTGGGAGTATCAGCTGGGGAAGTTCACCCAGAGAGGAAGGCTATGAGACCCCCAGGGGGCTCGGTTTGGGGCAGCCTATTCTATTAAACTCTGTTGTGGGGTTGTATTTCTCAACTCCTTTGTAATTCACAGCTACCACCACTTCACCTCTTTTGTTTCATGTTGATCTCCACTCCCTTAAGCTTCCAGAATCATACCTCAAGTCTGTTCCTCTTGTGTGTAGGTTTTTTTCTTTCTAATTCATTGTTAGGATGAGATTTCTCAACTCCCTAGTTACTGAGACCTCTTTTCCTTCTCTGGTCCCAAGTCACTTCATCCCATGGCATTTCCATGTTGGTTTTAAACCCAAATGTTACTTTTCTTACCACATATCTTCACAACCCCTCTTTTTGTAATTTACTCTCTGGTATCATTTTTCTGTGTCAACATTTTTGGGGCTTTGGTGGTGAGAAAAAGAATGTTGACAGTAACCCAGGAATGAATTCCTTAGCTGGATACCGCTTCCCCTTGGCTATCACCTCCCTTAGGCTGAGCAGAGGTTTGGGTTGTTGGTCTTAAACTGCCCATCTCCAGAGTGGAGGCAGACATGTCTTTAAAATATTTTCTTAGTTTTTCATTGGATTCCTACAGGCTTAGGAATTTAAAAAAAAAACAGAATACCTGGATTTTTTCTTATTAATAGTATTTGTTGTTGATTTCCCTAAGCCAAAGGCACGAGGCATGAGTAAATTTGGCTTAATGCTAAGCAAGTACTCTGGGCATTTTAGAGGCGAGCTGACAAGCAGACATAATGTTGACATCAGGCAAGAGTCCTGATGTGAGTTAGATACTGAATCTGAACAGAGTCCCAGTTTGTTGGGCTTGCATAGCACTTCACCCTCTGGCCCCTGCTTTACCCCTCCTACCTACCCTCTCACCACTCCTCACCCCTCAGACTCTAAGCAGCAGCTAACTTTCAATTCCCAGAGCTCTATTAACACCTCATGGTGTTGTGCCACCTCTGCACTTGCCATTGTTCTTCCCTCTTCTTGACATCCTAACTTGGCAAAGAAACCGCTTGCCTGCCCTGCTCTTGCTTATCCTTTAAGGCTTCGTTTCCATTTCCCGTTTTTTCAAAGAAGCCTACACTAGGCTATATCTGATCAGGCACTTCAGGTATGTGTCCTGAAGCGTATAGCAGCGTGTAGCACTTCGCTACCGTGTAACACAGCCCGGAAATATACTTGTCTGCTCGACTGCCTTTCCCACTAGATTGTAAGCTCTGTGAGGGCAGGGACAGTCTGTCTTGTTCACTGTTGTATCTTTAATGCCCAGTGTGGTAATAGGAAGTTAGTAAATAATATTTGAAGGAATCAATGCATTTTTAGGAAAAAATTTCCTAAGATATGTAAGTGCATAAATGGCTAACCATTTTCTGAGTTTTAATACATCATCTCTTATGTGTTGCATTTCCTCCAATAGGCCAAGTTGATTGAATTTAGCCCTCTGCGGGCAACTGATGTGAAGCTCCCAAGTGGAGCAGTGTTTGTGATTGCCAGCAGTTGTGTGGAAATGAATAAGGCGGCGACCTCCCATTTCAACACCAGGGTGGTGGAGTGTCGGCTGGCTGCAAAGGTAGGGGCTTGGCAAACTAGAGGAACTTAAGTAAGCTTTCTCTCATTCTGTTTCTCTTTGTTTCCTATTATTTTGTCTCTTCACCGAAAATTTAGGGAAACATTCTGACTGCAGCAATGTTCTAATGGAAGGTCTTTGGGTGAGCAATCCAATTCCAAACTCAGGAGATAAATAAGCCTATAGGAGTACAACCTTTGGCTATTCAGAAGCTGTATGAACTTCACAGTTGCATCTTTTAGGGTGGCACTGGGTCAAAGAGGACAGCTTATGTATGTGAGACACAGGCTGTGGGTTAGGTGTATAGGTGCAAAGATAGTTAGAGGTGATTGATGGGAAGTGACCATAACTGGTCTTGTTTCCTCAACAAAACTGGTCTTGTTTCCTCAACAAAAGTGACGGCAGCCTCACCCTGTGGTCCTCTTACCTGCACCATTTTGTATGGGCCATCACTGGTTACTTTAAAAATCTGTGCCTGGTGTAACCCTCTCTGTGCCCAGAAGACTTCTATGTGTCTACTAGGGAGACACACACCAGGGAAAGTCTTGCCAGTTTTTTGTTCTAAGACCCTTGCCAGTCAAGCCTTAAGTCTGCTTAGGAAGTATGAAGAGCAGCATACAAAAGGATACAGAATAAGAATAGAGAGAGTAAAGAGTTAAAGTTATGGGGGTAAAAATTCCCTTTGTAAATTACATAAATGTCTAACCATTGTGCTGTGTACCTGAAATTAACAGAAAAATATTGACTGTCAACTATAATTGAAAAGTTAAAAAAAGAGAAAAGGAAAGAGAAATAGAAGATGGTTAGTATGTGATCAGGTGGTATGTAACCAGGTGCTCCAAAACATGACACAGAAATGAAATGTTATGGGAGATCCAGAAGAGCCCATGACATGACTAGAAAGTGGGAGAGAATTGAGGCTGGGAGCTGGGGAGTGGAATCTGGGGAGCTCCACTGTGCGTTCTCTCAATCATTCTTCAAAAAGCAGTTAGAATGATGGTTTAGAAATTTAAAACTGCTCAGGTAATTCTCCTACATAACACCTTTCAAAAGCTGCATTTCATCGGAATGAAGTAAAAGTCTTCTTCGGCCCCCGAAGAGCCTTGCTAGACCCAAGGCCTGTGCACCTCATCGCTTCCTCTCCTAGTGTCTCTCCCCCCCTCCACTGCACTCCAGCCCTGAGGCTCACTCTCACCTCAGGGACTTTGCACATGCCCAGAACACTCTTCCTCCAGCCCTCTCTGAAGTCTCAGCCTGCATGTCTCTCAGGAAAGCCTTCCTTGACTTCCTTATTCCCAGACTAAAGTAGGGCCCCTTTTGTATTTCACATCTCAGTAATGGTACTATAACAACTGTTTAACGTCTGCCTTTTCTTTCTGATTTGATTGTACCTGAGAGCCAAGACTGTGTCCCTTTTATATCCCTAATCCCTGGCATTGTGTTTAGGCTGAAGCAGGCACAGGGTAAACATTTGCTGAATAAGTGAATGACTACTCCCTGCCCAGTTTCACAGTTTTTTACAAGTACATATTGTGTGCCCAGCTCTGGGCTAGCTACCCTGGAGATGTGTAGGGTGTAGTTCTCCCTGGTAACTGACTTGCTCCTTCACCCCTTACCTCACTCTCACCCCTGAGCTGTGTGAGGTTGAGGAGAGTAGAGATATGAGGAACCAGAAAGAAATAAGAGGTTTTTTTCCTTGGAAAATTTTGGGGTTAAATTTTTTTACAAAAAAATAATTTTCTTTTAAATTTAAAATTTTTTAAATTTGGAATTTGCTCATATAATTTCTAAAAATTATGTAAAAGATGTGTTTTAATATTAAACTTCCACAGTATGTAATTAGTATGTATACAAGAAGAAGTTGTACAGTAAACTTTTCAATACCAGGGCTTCAGTGACCTTTTCTTATCCTTTAGGACAAGCTTCCTGTTTCAGGAGATGGAAGAAATTAGTGTCTTATTTGTTTGAGGGCTTATTCACGTTGGCCAGTTATTTTGTGGTCGATGAGTAAGTGTTGCCTTCCTGAGGAGACCTCAAACATACACAACATTGTTTTCAAAGCTTTATCACGAAATTAGGTATCCCCTAAGACATCCATACATGGGCTAGAATGAGGACGAAAATGTAAAATGGCTTCCTGTTGTGACTACTCTCTTCCGAAGATTCAAGAAGAAAGTGAGGAATAAAATTTTGATGCTGAATCTCTGTAGGGAAAGTTGTCAGGATAAGGGGCATGTCCTTTGAGCGTTAACTATAAAAAGTGCATCTCTTTTGAAAGCAGTAGCTGAACACCTTAGTTCACTGCAGAACCTCCTGTTTTGAGGATGGCTTCTGAGTGCAATGGTACAACTCCATACAAGTTTTAGAGGAACTTCGGTCAGCAAAATTGGCATATCTGAATTTGGCTTTTTGCCTCATGCTCCTCACAATTGTTGTAGATAAAACACATTGTTTTAAATACTCTGAATTTTTCTCTTTTTAAAGATATGTAAGGAAAAAAAGTGAAAGACTTTATTGAGGTGGAGAATGTTTTTTAAACCATGTTGCAGCAAATCACTGAATCCAAGATTATGTATAAAGAGAAATAAAGATAAAATTGCTAACATGGTCCACACACACACAGATCTTGATGTTAAGATTATGTTTATGCCTGGGAATATGGGCTAGAATTCTGCTAAGCATATATTCCTTACAACATGGTTCCATTTTCCCATTTTCAGTAATTTGTGAATGAATATTTTTGTTTGGATGTGGTCTCATTAAATCAGGAACTAAACTCCCATATTGAAAGTCTAAAGAAGCTTGTCTAAATCTGCACAAACTCTGTTTTCACACAGTAAAATGAAGCGTCAGTGGAGAAATGCTTTCTCAGGATAGTGTTGAAAATGAGACTGATTAGATAAAGTTGCAAATGCCAAAACTGTAATGAATAATATTTTTCCTCTCTAAACTCTATTTTGAAAATAAGTACCTTTTATTCTAAGTACAGGGAAGTACACTAAATCGATAAAGATGGTTTTACTTTGTTTTGCCTTATGTTTATAGTTTCTTCTATTCTTTTAAAAAATCTTATTTCAGTTGTTAGTATGCAATATGATATTAGTTATATTAGTGTCAGGTGTAAAATATAGTGATCTGACATTTTTATACCTTCCAATGGGATCACCCCACTAATTCTGGTGGTCATCTGTCACCACGCAGACATCACAGCCGTACTGACCCAATTGCCCTTCACTTTTCTTACCTCCCAACCCCATTCCTTCTGGTAACTGTCCCTTTGGTCTGTATTCTATTCTATTCTATTCTATTCTATTCTATTCTATTCTATTCTATTCTATTCTATTCTATTTTTTTATCCTCGCCCAAGGATATGCTTATTGATTTGTTTTTAGAGAGAGAAGAAAAAAGGGAGAGAGAGAGAGAGGGAGAGAAACATCAATGTATCTATGTCAGAGAAAAACATCGATTGGTTGCTTCTTGCATGCACCCTGACTGACCAGCGACCGAACCCACAGCCTAGGTATGTGCCCTGACTGGGAATCAAACCCTCAACCTTTTGGTTTATGGGACCACATTCCAACCTACTGAGCTACGCTGGCTAGGGCTCTATCTTTTATTCTTAGATTTTCTTTCTCTCCCTCTCTCTCCTTCCCCCTCCTCTTTTTCCAGCAGGTTCCAAAAACTAATTGATGTAACATCATTAAAAGTCAGTCTTGTAGAGCCAATTTGGACCAAATAAAAGCAAACTCAACAGGGATTTATAATCATCACTTGCGTAAATGATACTTTTAAAAATTAATTTAATTTATTTAATCTTTGTTGTATTTTTTCATTACCATTTAGTCTTCTTATACCCCTGTCCACCCCTCAATCACCACACTGTTGTCCATGTCCATGAGACCTTTTTCCTTTTTGCTCAATCCCTCCACCCGCTAACTCCCCTCCCACTAGCTGTCATCCTGCTCTCCATCTATGAGTCTGTCCCAGTTTTCCTTGTCAGTTCAGTTTGTTCATTAGATTCCGCATATGAGTGAAATCATATGGTTGTAAAATGATTCTTTTAAGTGAAGCACATTTTTATTTTCTTAAATTTACAAAGTATCCAGACATCTTTGATGAGCACAATTTTTTCATATTTTACATGTATTCAGTGGCTTAAACTTTTCCAGAAATGTTTTATGTCTATAAAAGAGAATATCCTTTAGTTATATTGAGGGATAAAATGTGTTGCACCAGTAATAAATATGGGAAATCAAAAAGGGAAGAGAAATTTCAGCACTGCTTTTTGCATACCCCGAGCTCCTTGTGGCAACATGTGAAGCAATGCAGAGAGTTCCATGTGGTCCTTTGACACTTCAAGGAAAATTTGTGCTGTGATCCCTCACAGAGCCAGTTTGGTCAGGGGCCATCACACATCCAGTTTTTTTTTAGCTCCTGCTACTTAGTGGTCAATATGGAACTTATTCTCTGTCCAGCGATAGACTGTGAGGAAAAGTAGGCATGCCATTCTCAGGGCTTTGGCAGTTTCCTTGAATTTGAGTGAGGAAAACCCAAATACCCCAGAATGTAGCCAGTTTCACTGAGACTGTTGATTCAGTCCAGCACACTGGGCTGGAACTCTAGTGTGGAGAATTCCTAGCCTGGTGAGTCCGAGCTGCAGGGCAGAGGACGCACGGACTGGGAAATAGGGTTGGTGTGTGTGGTGGGCCAGGTGGCAGCAGGGCCTGGACTGCTGTGCTGAGGATCACCCAGGCTGGGTCCTGCCAGCGGCAGGAGCCACTAGTGTCGTTAGCAAGGTATTTTGGAAACATTAATCTGGCAGCAGGATCTTCTGCCTTGGATGAAGATAAGTGGGTCTTAAAGTGTCAACTTGAATGGGATAAAAAGGGAGGGATATGAGAGATGCTATGATTGGACCTACTAACAGGTCAGGTTTGAGGCTTTCTGTGATTGGGTTTCTGTCTTCCTTTGGGAATAAACACCATTGTTTGGAAGAAGCTTCCCTTGACTACCCTCCCTACTTCCATTGTGTTAAATGTGCTTTTACATGCCTTACTATATCCCGTATTTTTCTTTGTAGCAGCTTATCCCATTTGGATTTACTTCTTCACTGTGTAATTATCAAACATTTGCCTTCTTGGGTAGTCTGAGCTCCGTGAGGTCAGGAGCCCTGAGTGCCTCATTCACTGCTGTCCACTGAGGGCCTGAGAAGGAGTAGATGCTCAGTAACGCTCATTGCAGGCAGATGAAGGCAAAGTGTTGAGTCCGTAGGGCTGCAGTTTTGCGCTGAAATGATGGAAACTGCCCCTGACGGGTTGGGAGAAGATGGCATGGAAGGTGACTGGAAAGTGGGAGGTGATGAAATCTCCTCATGGAATTTTCTTATAAGTGATTAGATATTTGAGCTTAGATTGTATCCCTGGGCTAGGGCTATAGCCTTCCAATATACTTGTTTTGAGGTAACAATTGAAAGCAAGAGTTGTGTTCAGATTGCTGAGAGAAAGAGTGAGGCAGGAGATCAAAAGGCCAGAGGCTGAAATTGGGAGAGGGCTGCAGTTGAGTGACGAGAGGAGAAAAGTGAGTTATGGATGAATTTCGTGTAAGGACCAGGGAAGTGAGAGGGAAACCAGGAAAATTCATTGCTACAGGAGGCTATGAAACAGGGAACATGAAGAATAGAGATAACAAAGAGTGCCAGAGCCACTGGTTCCTTAAGGAATAAGAGGGCTGGGAAAAATTCAGTGGCTTTGGAAGTGGTTTTGGGGATAAGGAAGGGCCTCCATACTCAATAGTTTGAGTGGCTACTAAGGACCAGGAAGCAGTGACGCTGGGCTGCTGGTCCTAGTTGTTGGGCAGCGAAGGAGAAGGAGAAATGAAGAATAGTAGTTTTAGGAATAAGATGTTTTAAGACTGGCAACATCTGTATATGTTTGAAGACCCAGGAATAAGTGTCAGGTGGGAGAGAACTAGCTAGAGAGGCAGCGAAATGTGGAGAGGGAAGGAAACCTGACCCTCGCAGAGTGCCTCTTTCTGGGCTGGGAAAGGTGCTAGATGTCTTTTTTTATCTTATATAATCTTCACAATAGCTTGTGAAGTAGCCATTGAGTGTCCCACTTTACCTGGGAATTTCCTGCCGAGGTAGGTTGTGACTTGTTTTAAGTAAGCGCAGCAGTCCACATCTCTCTTTGCCCCTCTTCTCTCCGTGACTCTTAGGAGTTAGGCGTCCAGAGCATGCTGCTTGGGGATGCCATGGACAGCCTATGCAGACGGTGCAGGGAGGAGGTCCACTGTGCCCAGCTGCGTAGATTTCTTCTGTACCCTGCAGCTAATGTAGAGAACAGGAACAGCAGCTGGAAGGAGGTGAGGGGGAGGTGAGCGAAACAAAGAAGTGTGGGTAATAAAAACAGCTATGTATGATCCCATTTATTTCAAACTATATGTTTGTAGGTGTGCATAAAGTGTGCGTGAAGAAATGTATGATAGGATGGCTGTCAAAATGACAGTTGGCAGTTATCTCATTGGGTGATTATAGATGATTTATTTTACTTTAATTTTTTGTACTTTGAACTGTATGTTTTTTGCAGTTTTAGAAAAATGGTGTGTGAGTTGTGTAATCAGAAACAAGAACACAGCTGCTTTTATTGTGTGGGGAAAAACTTGAGTGAATTGTTTTTAGAGGTAAAGCAGAAAGGGATTAGAAATTTTACCCTTTGCTGACCTGGTGAGGAGCCAACTTGGTACTTTTCCCATTGGTTTGTTAATAGTGCCACATGTCATGAGAACGTCAAAGAGAGGTAGGTTTGACAGACAGGCCCCTGTCTTAGCATTCTCCTTCCTACCCTACCCTCTCACTGAAAGTCCCAGGGATGCTCAGACTGAGGGCTCTTTCTAAGTGCAGGAGAGTGTCTAGTTTGCACCTGGGACAACCTGGATGTGCTAGTGAGCTAATTCCCTTTGGAAGCAGCCCTCAATCAATGACAGATGAGAATCAGTGGGTAAATGGCCCAGCTTTCTTTCCCTGGGGTAGATTACATCTGAGGTTTACATATAGCGGTCCTAGAGGGTCCAGCAGGCCCGCCTCACTGGACCATGTCAGTGCACCTCATATTGGCTTCTCTTCCAGTCTCGCTCTCCTCCCTCTCTCAGTGTTTCTGGGTATCACTGACCCTTTGAATTCTTGTCTTAGGCTCTTCTTCCTAGGGGAACCAACTTAAGATGGGGCCCTAGTGCTATTTATCTGCCCCTTTCCATGACTGTGGGCAGAGCACTTGTTTCCTGCTTTCTTGTCCACAGAGCAAGGAACAGGCTCAAGAGACCACCTGGAAGTGGTATCTCATATGAACATTAATGTTTGCTGTGGTGAAAAGAAAATAGTGGATGTTGACAAAGAACTGCTTTCTTTGATTTTTCCCACCCTACTGTTAAAGTGAGGAGCTTGTGATGAAATGACCTACATCCCTGATTCATAGCCCTGCTTCACCAGTGTGAAGTGGGCCAGCCACCAGGGCTGTAAGTGGCAAATTCCTGCATGAAGTTCTGTCTTTGAGCAACAGAGATCTTACCCACCCCCTTCCCTCATATGCAAGTCATCCTTCTGTTTCCTGAGCCAAATTTCAAAGGGCTTAAGCGGGGTTTCTAGTTTACTCCTACAATGTAGTGTACATGTGCAGCTGTCATTAAGGGCATGTGGTAGATGTCATTCTTATTGAAATACACACCAAATTGGCTGTGTGGATCGTCCAGCTGAGGGTTAAGTGAATCCAAAAGCAAACTGGGCTATTGCTGGAGTGGATGTGAACCTCTGTGTGTTAGGGCTTCTGTCTGTGCTAGAAAGGCACACAGGGAAGCCGCCTTTGACAACCTCGTAGACACCAGGTGTCCCTTGCAGACTTTCTCCCCGTGCGCCAGTTTCCTGGGATATAGCAACTGAGGCAGTGTGACTATGGCAACTTAGAGGTCATTGGAATTTAGAGAGATATGAGCCAGAGGTTTAGAGATCATTCTTAGGACGAGCTCATGCTCATTACTTGGGAGCCGTTCTTTGATGTTTTCTTCTTTTTCTCCTTCTTCTCCTTGTCCTTTTTCCTTGAAGGAACCCATCTATCAAAGTGTTTTTTAAATCACTGGAATGTTTACTTCTAACACCAATCTTAGTTTATTCTTTGAAAACCATTTCTACGACTGAGAGGTGATTTAAACTAATAGGAGTAGCAGGACGTAGATGTCAGCCAGACCTCACTGAGAATGTGGCCTTGGGGAAGCAAGGCATAGGACCTGGGTTCAACTTCCAACTTTGTTTCTTTGGACAAGTCACTTACTCTCATCTCTTAAATGGAGTAATAGCACCTATCTCACAGAGCTGCCAAAGATGAAAAGAAATAAAAAGGCACATTTCGAATCATTTTGTAGCACCATACAAGCTTCATTGCTTATCTCAGTTGGATTTGGGTTTGTATTTCAAGAAAGCATCATTCTCAGAGATCATCGACTTCACCTCTTTTTCTATATAAAATAAATACATTATATGTTTTTCTCTTGCATTATGTATGCCTTTATAAGTTTTCTGAAATTTTATTTTTGGAATGTAGACCATGACTGAATAAATTAAAAGGATGAATGAATGAACGGGTCAGGCTGTAGAGGCATCCAATCTAACACCACTAATAAACACTAACAAAGTGTGCTAAGCAAGCAAGGTCGGAAGAAAGGTTTTTGTTTGTGTTTTTGTTTGAAAAATGGCATCAGGTTCTGTGAAATCATTGAACAGGAAAATATAATCCTATTGTCTTTTTTTCCAAGTTCTGCCTGAAATCATTAACTTCTTTTAAATGTATGACCCAGAGGTTTAAAAAGACTAATAAATGTAAGAACTGATGTTATTAACATTTGTCAGAAGTGAGTAGCCCTAAGCAGAGTGCAGTGCTCTTTTGGTAAACCCCGCTTCCTGTTGGAAAGAAAGAAAATCAAATCATGAGCATAATAGGCGAGTAAATCAGACGCACATTGCCTTGAAGACTGATTTCCCCTTCTTCCTTGCTTCTTTCTGCTGTTTGTGCTGTCTGCACCTGCTGTCTCCACACCCAGGGACTGAATTTTACAGGCCTCTGGAAGAGAGAGATCTTTGCTGTTTTGATTGTTTCCCACCTACTCTGAAGTGTTCAGTTAGTGGTTTTGAGGGGGGAGTGAGGGAAACAGATTCTGGTTGGGGGTTCAAGCAAGTGGACCTGGTCACAAAGGTTTGGTTTGTACTCAACCGCCTTCAGCTGATGGAGAGGGTGCCTCAGAATGCAACTGGAAGCCAGACTCTTTTCTTGAGGGTGGAGAAACATACAGCTCTACCAGTACCAGCAACCTAATGCAATGGATGTTCATAAGGTCACCAATGAGGTTTTCATTTAAAATCTGGGACTTTACTCTGAACACCCAGATACTTAAATTCATTTGCCATTTCAAAGAGGCATGGAGTAAACAGGAAGTACTCTAATGCAATTGGGCATACAGTATCCACCTCAGGACCCAGGTCATGAGAGATTTGTGTAGGGTGTTTTTTTTGGTATACTTTACAGAGAGTGATATATTAGGGATGAGCTGAATGGGATAAAAGAACAGAATTATTCAAAGAAATAGCCCTGAGGAAAAGGGATGACAGGCAAAAAAAATTGGTGGAATATTGGTTTTTATTTTTATTTTTTTGAGAAAAATGCTTAACTAGCCTGTGACTGTCATACAAGCATGCTTAATTCCAAACATCTGAACCCAGTGTGCATTTTCAAGCAATGGTGGGAAGTCTGGATAGGTTGAGTGGAAAAAAGCAAAATAAAAACAGCTTGAATTTGGCTAATTAAAGTAACACACACCAATTTCTGTAGTGAATACTGACCATTATCTTGGTTTCAACTTGCAGCTCTTGGCTAAGTACAAAGGCTTGCAATGGGGTAAAGTGCAGCGGCTAGAGGAAGTGCAGGCTGACCTCGGGGTCACTCTGGAAGAAATGCTGCTGATCACAGAGGATGCTCTTCACCCTGAGCCTTACAGCCCAGAGGAGGTTTGTAGGTGTCTGGGAATTAGCCTGCAGGAATTTCGGACCCAAATCCTGAGTCCAAATACTCAAGATGGTAAGTCTGCTGGAGAAAATGAGGGCATGGGTTGCTCCTCCACTCACGGCTGAAAAGTCTACAACTTCCACAAAGGATCTTGCTGGATCTGAAGCATGCTGGAGGGGGTTTGGAGAATGGGTGTGTTTTAGCAAAATTAACTATCTAAATTCTTGGTTTCATTAAATTCATTTTTTCACTCACCAACAAACATTTCTTGGTCTGCTATATGCCAGGTATTCTGGTGAGGCAAAGGTGAATGTTACAAGGCTCCTGACCTCAAGAAGTTCATAATTCAATAGTCTTCCCCTTTTCATCTTCTTTTTTACCCCTACCTGTTTTTCTATTATATAAAAATGTCGAGGTGTGAGCAGTGCTCACAACTGCTGTGGAACAACACTTTGGATGGGACACCAGGAAGTCTTCACTGCCTAGGTTGAGACTTGTGGCCACTTTTGTGTGGAAGCCTCTTCAATTTACCTGCTGCTTTCAAGTAAATTTTTTTTTTTACTAATAAATCAGATACCTGAGATGAAGGCCAGGTAAAAGTTGGAGGTACAGAATAAAGCCTGGGGGTATTTTTTCAATTCTTAGAAGTAAAGGAGGGAATTTCAGGAGAAAAGGGGGAAGGATTTATAGGAACTAGTATAAAGGACACATGGACAACAACTAAGGGGAGTGGAAATGGGAGGGAGGTGGGAGCATGGGGGGATGGGCAGGGATGGGAGTAAAAGACAGAAAACTGTACTTGAACAATAATTAAATTAAAAAAAGAAGTAAAGGTTGTTTATTTGTCAGTGCTGGGTGCAGAGACATCTAGCTAAGATCCAATGGTTTCTTGAGGGAGAGTTGGGAGGGTGGGATCTTAGAACAAAGGTCAACCTCAGAGCCTCATTTCCATCCCATCCCATTCAGTTCAGCCCTTCAATTGGTTATTGAATGCCAACAGTGGATTGGTCTGCCAAGTAATGTCTTAAAGACTGCAATGACTGACTGATAGCTCTCAGCTAAGATAAAGGAATCATTGGAGGGCAGAGAGGTGGTTTTGGTTTCCAACACTGTTAGGTCCAATTTAATTTGATGAACATTTACTGAGTTTGTAGAACTGAGATGACCACGCTGGCTGCAGGCTAAATTAGACTTGCCACCTGTTTTTGTGAAATGGGCTTTTGCTGGAGCATAGCCATAATTAGCCATGGCTGCTTTTGTACTGTAGCAGCACAGTTGAGTGCTTGTGACAGAGACTGAACAGTCCACAAAACCTAAAGTATTTACTCTCTCACCCTTTGCAGAAAAAGTCTGCTGACCTCCATGCAAGAAAGGCAGTATACCAAAGCCACTCTTCTTGGATTAGAGTTTTAGGCTTCTTTACTTACTAGATTTGTGACTGTTATCTTAGTTTTATATGTAATAGGTTTAACAGGAATACCCCCCTTAAAAGAGTAATCTGTGTAATGTGCTAAGAGCCTGGTGTGATAATGGAGGTGCTCATAAATGGGAGCTGCTTTTGTTATTTCTCCTTCCCTCTCCTCCTGCATCTCCTCTAGGATTGAGGCTGAGCATTGGGAACACAAAGATAAACACAACAGGGTTCTATCTTCATAGAGTTTACAAAGAAGCTAGAGAAACTGATAAAGAAACTGCAAAAGCTTTTTAGATTGCCATTTATTGAATGGCAATCTAAATCTTTAGCCTATTGTATGTGTTTGCTTCCTCTGTCAAATATTTTTAAGTATTTTTTATTAACTATGCTATTACAGTTGTCCCACTTTTTCCTCCTTTGTCCCCCTCCACCTGGTACCTCCTGTCTCCCTTCAATCTGAACCTCCCCCCTTAGTTCATCTCCATGGGTCATGCATAGAAGTTCTTTGGCTACTCCATTTCCTGCACTATTCTGAACATTCACTGTCTATTTTGTACCTACCAATTATGCTTCTTAATCCCTGAACCTTTTCCTCCATTCTCCCCCTTTCTCCTCTCAGTTGATAACCCTCCAAATGATCTCTGTATCTCTGAATCTGTTTCTATTCTGGTTGTTTGCTTAGTTGTTTCTGTTTTTGTTTTTGTTTTTTAGATTCAGTTGTTGAAGGTTGTGAGTTTGTTGTCATTTTAATGTTCATAGTTTTGCTTTACTTCTTTTTCTTAAATGAGTTCCTTTAACATTTCATGTAATGATGGCTTGGTGATGATGAATTCCTTTAGCTTTACCTTCTCTGGGAAGCACTTTATCTGCCCTTTCATTCTAAATGATAGCTTTGCTGGATAGAGTAATCTAGGCTGTAGGTCCTTGCTTTTTTATCACTTTGAATATTTTTTGCCAGTATTTTCTTGCCTGCAAAGTTTCTTTTGGGAAATCAGCTGATATCTTATGGGAATTCATTTGTAGGTAACTCTCTGCCATTCTCTTGCTGCTCCCAAAGAAGTTGGACCCAAGAAGGAACACACCAAGGCACATCATAATTATATTAGCCAAGATTAAAATGAAGGAGAGAATCCTAGAAGCAGCAAGAGATAAGGGGACAGTCACCTACAAAGGAGTTCCCATCAGACTGTCAGCTGATTTCTCAAAAGAGACCTTACAGGCAAGAAGGGGCTGGAAAGAAGTATTCCAAGTCATGAAATCCAAAGACCTACATCCAAGATTGATCTATCCAGCAAAGCTTTCATTTAGAATGGAAGGACAGATAAAGTGCTTCTCAGATAAGATCAAATTCAAGAAGTTCATCATCACCAAGCCCTTATTATGTGAAATGTTAAAGGGATTTACCTAAGAAAAAGAAGATAAAAAAGATGAACAGTGAAAGGACAGCAAACTCACAGTTATCAAGAACCACACCTAAAACAAAAACAAACTAAGAGGACAGCTAGATTAGGAGCAGAACCATAGAAATGAAGATCACGTGGAGGATTAGCAACAGGGGAGTGGGAGAAGGAGAAGGGGGGAGAAGGTACAGAAAATGAGTAGCATAGACAGCAGGTAGAAAATAGATGGGGGAGGGCAAGAATAGTATGGGAAATATAGAATCTAAAGAACTTGAGACACATGGTCATAAACTAAAGGGGGGGAATGGTGGGGGAGGGGTGTGCAGGGTGGAGGGGAATGAAGGGGGAAATAGAACTGTAATGGCATAATCAATAAAATATATTTAAAAAATACAAAAAAAAGATTCTCTCTTTATCTTTAACCTCTGGCCTTTTAATTTTGATTTGGTTTGGTGTGGTCCTCTTTGGGTCCAACTTGTTTGGGATTCTCTGTGCTTCCTGGACTTGTATGTATATTTTCTATGCCAAAGTAAGAAAGTTTTCTTTCATTATTTTTTCAAATAAGTTTTCAATTTCTTGTTCTTCCTCTTCTTTTTCTGGCACCCCATATGATTTGGATGTTGGCAGTTTAGGAGATGTCTCAACGTCATCTTACACTCTCCTCATTTTTCTGAATTCTTGTTTCTTTCTGTTCTGGTTGAATGTTTATTTCTTCCTTATATTCCAAATCATTGATTTGAATTCTGGCTTCTTTCCCTTTACCGTTGATTGCCTATGGACTTTTCTTTATTTCACTAAGTGTAACCTTCATTTCTTCCCTTATGTTTTTGCCATACTCAATGAGCATCCTGATCACCAATGAACATACTCTGAGCATCCTGATCACCATTGTTTTGATAAGCTGGCTATCTCTGTTTCATTTAGTTCTTCTTCTGGGGTTTTGTTCTGTGCTTTCATTTGGGCCATATTTCTTTGTCTCCTCAATTTGGAAGCCTCCCTGTGTTTGTTCCTGTATATAAGGTAGATTTGCTCTGATTCCCTGTGTTAGTGTACCTGTTAAGTTGCATCAGGCAGAGCCTTGGGTATTCGCCAGGGTGGGGCAACCTGCTTTATCACTTCATGTTTCTGTATGGTGGCAGGGGCTGGAGAAGGGACAATTCGGCAACTGGCTTCTGGAGGTTTGCCTGGCACATGGCCTATTTTCAGTTTCTGTTTGCAACTGGCAGCCTTCTTGCTGCTGCCCTGGTGGTGATTCCCAGAGCAGGTGGTTTAGCATATGTTCTAAGTCCATGTGTGCCTGGACTCTCCTGAGAGACTGGCATTTTCTTCCATTGTCCCAACCCCCACTGTTTTTTACAGCCAGAAGTTATAAGGCTCATCTTCCTGACACTGGAACCCTGGGCTATGCAGTTGGGCCTGGTGCTGGAATTGCTTGCTTCCCTGATAATCCTCCCAATTTTTATCAAACACATGTGAATGTGGCACTGCCTATTCTGCCACCACTGCCACCTCACCATGCCACACCACATCCTCTCTGCCCCTCCTACTCAACTGGATGAATATGGCTTCTTTAAATCCTTGGTTGTCAGACTTTCATACAGTTTGATTTTCAGGTTCTTTCTTTTGAGGTTAGTTGTAATTCTTCTTGTGGTTGTGCAAAGAGACAAAGGATGTCTAGTTGTACCTCCATCTTGATTGGAAGTCTCCTCTGTCGAATACTAATTGATTATAAAGACATGGGTTTATTTCTGGCTTCTTTCTTCTGTTCCATTGATCTATGTGTCCCAGTGCCATGCTGTTTTGATTACTATGACCTTAATAGTACAGTTTGATATTAGGTAGCATGATATGTTCAACTTTGTTCTTTCTCAGGATTACTGTTGCTCTTTGGGGCCTTTTATGGTTCCATATAAATTTTTGAAATATTTGTTCTAGTTTTGTGAAATACATCATTGGTATCTTGATAGGAATTTCATTGAATATATAGATTACTTAAGGAAATCATCAATGAAAGAAAAATACAACCCACTGAATGGGAGAAAATATTTACCCATACATCTGATAAGGGGTTAATATCCAAAATTTATGAAGAACCTATAAAACTCAACACCCAAGCCCCCCAAATAATCCAATTAAAAGATCAACAAAATACCTGAATAGACAGTTCTTCAGTAGACATATGAAAACATGCTCAATGTCATTCATCATCAGAGAAATACAAATTAAAATCACAATGACATATCACCACACACCGGTCA